TGGAGGATAACTCCCGCTAATAAACATGCACATAACTTACCCCCATGTATCAAGACACTTAAGGCTTTTGTTGACAATAATTAAATAATTTACATAGTCACGCTTTAATTAAAGCTAAAGACGTTCACGTATTTACTTATTCAACCGCCAATCACTCGACAAAACCAAACCAAGAAGTGATGTTTACAAAAAGGCTGTATTTCGATTAGAGAATTGGGATGCCGAGCGGTGGACTGTCCATCAAGAAAAAGGAGAGAGGAAGGACTGACATATGGGGCATCAATACTCAAAATAATGATTACATCTCAACCGAGTTCCATTGTCACATCCTCGTCGCTTGTGTCCAACGATCGACTAGGTGTTTCAGTTGGGACTGAATGATATACTACATCCAGGTAAAGTGCATTTGCAGAGGATTTGGATGTAGCTGAGGCATCTGGAGACCGCTTCTTGAAGCGGACTTTCTCCGACCCCGGGAAACTACCTGCTCCAGAAGAGGACAGGTGCTTTTGGGGCGGTGAATCCGGGATGTCTAAAACAGGAACAAATAAGAAAGTCAGTAAAGGTACATTCAACAATACACACCTAATAGGATCTGAATACCTAATTATTTGGTAAGTTAGCGAAATCACGTTCGCTTGAGCTGAACTGTTCAGTGTTCGATATAAACTTGACTTTTGTGGAACTCGGGCATCTTCCTTTCGACGAAGATCTGCATGTATTCTCTTTTGGATTGAGCTTCGATTATACTCGTCACATTACAGGGGGTCTTTAGTCGATGCGTAGAAGATACCGGCAACGACCTTGGCAATTAGCCATTCGGTTTGAATGTGAGGCGTATCTCAGTGAACTTTCTACTTCATGGTGTTTGTATTTAGCCTCCTTTACAGACTATCAGTTAACCCTCTCCACGGAGAGCTTCTTTTCTGTCGACGGTGCCATCCCAAGCCCCGTTGTCTCATGCATCCATTCACGAAGAGCATCCTGCTGCGCACTTGAACACGAGTGCATTAAATGATCAGGGTTTTTGAAAACCCCAACTCAGTACATAAAATATATCGTGTCTGTTTCTGTTCATCATATATGTACGGTTTTGTTTTAGGCAACTGGAAAAAGACCTGATTTTGCAGTCAATCAGATTTAGTAATTTTTAGCTCCGTGATTGCAGATTCAAACGAGAGAATATTCAGATATCCAGCTGAAATTTTCGGTGTCTTGGAGAGCATGATTTATCGTATTGTCATCACTAAAACATCAACGAGAACGCTAGTAGATGGGTGGAAACTAAATAAGACCAAATGCGAGCAACGGTTAATGAGAATGCTGTTCACGAAACGCTCCTTAAGGAACTTGCCGTGTCTTGTTTGACAACCGATATTTCCCTGTTCTTTGGTCGGATAGGTAGCTCATCTCCACATCCAAGTTGGGACGTATGATTAACCAGTCGTGATTTCACTGAATCACTTCTAAGTAACATCTTCAGGTACAAATATGAAGCATCGTTTTGATAATAGATGACGCGCCCATACTTCGCACGTCGTTCGTTTCATATCAATCAGAAACAAGAAATCTTCAGTTAGAACTTACTTTTTCCCACAGTTTGACCGGATTTGTTACTGGTCAGCGACTCGATGCAGACACTGAAAATAGTCGCAGCCAGTCCCCCGGCTCCGGTCACTGATGGTCGTACACCTAGAGATCGATGCAAGCAATCGATCGCTTCATCCATTCTTTCGGTCATGGCATAGACCAGAGCTAGGCTGGACAAAGTGTTCGGAGAGTCTGGAGCAAGTCGGAGCGCGATTTGATGCATCCCGATAGCTCGATCGTACATGCTGTGCGACAACACCATACAGACATGCGGTGGGATACAACCCATATGGGACAGGACGGGAAGAGAAATGAAGAAGTGAAGGGGGTGTTTGATGAACAACACGTAACGATAAAACACTCAAAATTAGGGCAGGTGAATTGAGAATCGTTCGTTGATCACATAGATAACTGGTAATACCGCTCCAACGAGACACAGCACGAACAGGTCACATGACCGATGTCCAACACATGTGGCCCGGAATGCAAACACGATGCAGGTTTATAAACGACACCAAAACTATAAAACATCAAACGTACTGAATCTGGCAATGTGTCCATCAATTTCATGGTCATGTGTGACACATGAAATGTATAAACGATTGGTGTGTATGTGGTACGGAACATCGTTGACTGTCAATAACCTTTACTGGACAAAGTGATTGCACGACAGTAGTAATAGTAATGATCTTTTTACTTCCGTTTATTTTACATCTAACAAATGTAAAATAAACATTCAGGAAACAGGCTATAGATTACAAAAAAAAACTAGAAACAGGGGTCGACAACGGACCGTTTTTAGCTGTGTTCCTATGTTGTGAGATATTACTCACTTGAGAGTAGTAGGAAACAGGGTTGGTGATTACTTTCAATGACCAAAAATTAACAAGACCACTGAGGGCTATTTGTTGGGTCTCAAAGAAGAACTATCGATTTCTACATTCAGTACCCGTCGTGTGGCCAGGAACTGCGATGGTATGATTCTGATGAGATATTCTGTATTATGTATGCCAATTTACAGACGTCCCATCTGTGACCAACGAACCCCACATGGTCGACCAGCTAGAGGTTTCTGCACTACTGGGACTCGGCGAACATGGTGTCATACGATTCAGATTTGTACACACCACGGAACTGATACGGTCGACAGGGTCCACTCGCTGGAACCTACGTAAGGCCGATACTCCAGGCATGCGAGCCTTCCTGGAGTCAGCCCAATGGCCCCTTAACCCTCCTTGCGTCAACGATCATTGGAGAGAAGTGAAGGGGATTCTCACCGAGGCCACGCGTGGGTTTGAACCACGGACAAAGGTTCGACCATTCAAACCGAAACAGCGACTGCGTCGCCGTACAATTAAGACCTTGGCACGGAAAAGACGCGCGTGGAACAAATACCAATGGTCCCAGAGCTCCCATGACTACGAGGCGTACGTTGAATTACGCAGACAATATAACCTATAAAGAAAGCAAGACACCAGCGACCACCAGAGGCAGTTCTTAAACCGGGTCATTGCGGACCCGAGGAGTTTCTATAGGGATATCTTTATGGTGACCCAGGCGAAACCCGGGATCACAGATATCCGTCGTGCGGATGGGTCCCTTAAGGATGGCAACAAGGCTGCAGCTAACACCCAGGCTGAGAACTACTCCACGGTATTCAGCTCAGAACATGTTAGTCGGACAGACGGAAGCGGTCTCCCCGCAGAAAACCCCATATACAGCAGGTTCATGGAACCTGTGTCGTTCTCCCCGGTACAGGACTAAAACTGGCAAGTCTCGTAGCTAAAAGGTCACCGGGCCTTGACGAGATACCACCCATCCTACTACAGCAGTGCTCAGAGCAGTTAGCACTACCCCGAAGCAGAATTTTTAACTCTCTATGATAATAGACGTGATCCCAAACGAGTGGAGGACATGCGTGGTCTCTCCTATATTCAAGTCGGGGGGACCGTACCTTACCAAACAATTACCACCCGGTAGCACTGCTCTGGGTGGTTTCAAAGGTAATGGAGGGACTCATTGACGACAAAATCTGAGTTTGTCGAGCGAGATCGTTGCTTGCACGATGCCCAGCATGGGTTTCGTGGGAAGCGATCCTGCCACACCAACCTCTTGAGACCACGGAGTGGTATGCATGTGCTGCGGACAGGGGGTTGCAACTGGACGTAGTCATGCTAAATTTTTCCAAGGCCTCCGATAGAGTTCCTCACTCTCTGCTAGTAGAGAAGCTGGTGAACCTGTGATTCCCCGACTCCCTGATAGTTTGGGTCTCTGACTATCTGTGCGATCGAACCTTTCGGGTTTGACTGAACGGCGTTCTCTCAGATAGGTTTGGAGCACCCAGTGGAGTACTCCAGGGCTCTATCTTAGGCCCCAGACTGTTCACAATATTTGTGAAAGATCTCCCTGTAGGCATACAATCAAACTTACTGATGTATGCAGATGACGTTATGATCTACCGTGAGATTCGAAGCCCCTTAGATAAGTGCACCCTGTTCAACTTGTACAGCATGGAGTATAGGAGGGTAAGGGCGATTTGATCCCCCCTGAGGGACACACTCAGCGTTCAGGGGGAACCCTAACAGGCAGCTGATCATGATGGCCCCTCCGTCAGCACTGCGCGGCCACTCCATGAAACTGGAGAGGCTGCGTCCCAGACTGAGAACCCGGGAACACTGTTTCCCGGTACGTGTATGTCGCCCTTGGAACTCATGGCCAACGACAGTAGTCCAGGCTAGAAGTAAACAGTCGTTCCAAATGCTGCTTGACCAACACAGCCAAACAGTACCCTGGCGCTCCGTTCGACACACCGTTACCGGCAATCCGAATGACTCCAACCTGCTGCGACTGTCGTAGATTGTGTATGTTTGCAGATGAGGTGACGTGAATGTGACCTAAATTTTATCTTTACTCTGTCTTCATTGATGCCAGAGCTGCAATCTGCGAACAACGCTGGAGACCGGACGGCTGGTGACTCGGTATGCANGTCTAATCACCCAGGTGATAGAACACCCATCCATCACTAGACTCAACCCTCATTCAAGCAAGCCAGTGGGATTTTTACCCCTAATGGCCCAGAAAAAGAAAAAAACTATAACGATAAAAAAGAAAACCCACCGGCTAGATAATAATGCGAGGAACACTCGAAAGTGAGTGACTGGTGATAGAATAAACTCGGGTCGGCTCCCAACACCCCATGGTGTTGAACGCGGAAATAATAAGAAAGCAAAAAAGAAGGGTACCCACCAGGTCCTAACCGCAGCAGCCGTCAAAATAGCGAGTTATCCCGTCAACTGATTAAGGAAAGAAAAATGAGAAAAAGAAAGAAAACAAAAATAAAAGAAAGCAAGAAAAAAAATGAAACGTACAGGTGGTTTGATTGGAGAATCTCTCTCCATTAATCACTCGCAGTCGAAGGCCGGAGTCGGGTAAGGGTACAGGGGGACTGCCTCCCNCCTGGTCGGAGCGACCGAGTTATGTAGTCCTGGGGCAACTTGTCGGTCCAATGCCAAGTAAGCTGCGGATGCGGTTCTGTCACGATGAGGGTGGAGACCCACTCCTTCCCCCCTATCTACCTACCGCACTGCTTTTCTTTACTTTTTAATCCGACTGCTGGAAGAAGGATTGCATGGTTTGGTTGTGCGCCCTGACAGTCTAGAACGGTTTTGTAACGGTGGGCGCCATTGGAACACTGCGAAGCGTGTGGCGGCAAGTTCTTTTGTGAACCATGGTTGTGGTTTGACCATTGCTTACGTACGAGCGCAGGATAAACTTGTTGTCAGCGCTTTTCATAGCAAGCGATTGTAAATCCAAACTACGCACGTCAAACTACACCTATTAACCTAGACCACTTAACCATCCAAAGGCGTGCATTGTCTTGGTATTATGCTGGCATATATGTCCTCGGTCGTGTGACTTCTTTGCATGACAACTATCCATCTGCTCGCCAGCCCGTATAGTTATCTTGCCAACATGATTGTAGGCTATCACACAGGCTTGGTGATCCATGCTCATAAATAATCCATGATAAACTCAACTGACAAGGATGAAAAAATTAACACAGTTGATTGGTTAAGACTGTTTATCTCTTTTCAAAAAGTCAAGAACTTTTATTTGTTCTGCTTCAAATGACCAGCAGGGAGTTGGAAAAAATTTCTTGTCAGAAGGCCAACCAGTATTCCGGTCCCCCTCGCGCAAGAAGAAGAGAAATTACAATGTGTAATTATTAGAAAAATGACACATACGACTAGTTGAAAAATGAACGAAACACTTGAAAGCGTGAATTGTGACACCTGACGATCTCAAAAAGTACGCAACTCCTTGGAGATGAGACGAGGCTTCGTTGTCACCATGGGGTGCACTTGCAGGAAAGTCCCATTCACCTTAGCATTACAACGAGAGGCCCAAGGACATGCGATCTGCCTAACTGAGCACTAGCTCCAAATGAACTGCTTTCCTCAAACATTTCCAGTCTGCTTTGCCCGCCAATCTTTGGTTAGCCGAAGACTCTCTTGGTGGATTTCTACGAAAATCACCAGATTCAATCTAGGCAACCAAAAATACATGAATTAATTATTTTTTACGACATTCTTCTACCACACCAATTCGATACAGTCTGTAAATGTGAGTTAGATACATTTGCGTGACCTAGTCAAATCAATTGCGGGCTCGATTTACCCAAAGCCTACCTTGTCTGCGGTGGTACACGTTAAAAAGAGACAGCCGAGTGTCGCATGCAATCACCTTTATCAATGTTCGCTCAGTTTATTTTCATAAAACTTTCTCCACCACCCAATGGGCTTTACATTGCTTTATGAAGGACGGAAAACAAAACCAGATCTATTTGCCACGTTGCAGAAGACCACCATGAACCCACGGTTACCAGTTCAGCAAGCTACAGAGAGCGCAATCAGATTAAGGAAAACGTAAGCGCCAGTTCACCAAACAGCCCGTTGGAGACGATATCAGAAGCATTTCGAGGGCCTTGACAGATGCTCATTGGCCCAAAAGCCATGTTCCAACAAAAAACCTTGGGTTTGTAAAGAGATTACGTACGATCCTCGGTTAACACTATAACCGTGAAGCGCAATACAATGAAACGACCTGCTTTGATCGCTGCCAAACTCGCAATGCATACAAGGTTAATGGTAAAGTTTAAGATAGACAGGGAGTGAACCTACTTCGAGGGAGGGAGAAGAAGGTAAACCGCTATGGTATACTCACAGAGTGCACAATCGA